GGTGCAGTCCTGACACGGAGCTCCGGGGAGTTCAGGATGCTCCCCGCTTGTGTCTCCTCTCCACCGAGCCCCACGTTTCCTGCCACAATTCTACACCCACTTCACACAGGTCCCTGACTCTTGGTGGGCTTGTAAGCCAGTGGGGAAGCTGGACTGTCTCTTGAGGGTCTTATCCTGGTGCCTTTACTGGCCAGGCGGGCGCAGCCATCCCACGCTCCACTCTCTATTGTCTGTCCCACACTCTCCAGGTTTTGTTTTCCTATCTCCCGTTCACCTTATTCTTTTTCCTGATTTGTGTGTCCCACGCTGAATCTCCAACAATTCACCTCGCCGTTTTTTGCGGGAGAGTGATCTGATCATGTGTAGCAGACCGAAATCTACACCTCTCTCTCTGGAAGCAGGAATCCGGTAGGTTACCTTAACTCTGCCATTTTTCCTCTCTCCCCAGGAATAGCTATTCTTATATCAGATAAAACAGACTCAATTCAACAACAGTAAAAAAAGACAAAAATGGTTATCATATAATGATAAAGTGACCAATTCAACAAGAAGATACAATAATCCTAAATATATATACACCTAACACTAGAATTCCCAAATTCATAAAACAAATACTACTAGACCTAAGAAATAAATAGCAATATAATAATAGTGGGGGACTGCAACTCTCTAGAGACAATACTAGACAGATCATTGAGGCAGAAAGTCAGTAAAGAAACATGGGACTTAAATGGGACTCTAGAACAAATGGACCTAACATTCACAAAACATTCAACCCAAAAACTACAGAACATACATTCTCCTCATCAGCACATGGAATATTTTCTGAGGTAGACTGCATGTTAGGCCACAAAACAAGTGTCACAAAATTTTAAAAAATTGAAATCATATCGTATATCTCCTCAGTCCACAGTGGAATAAAAGTAGAAATCAATTTGAAGAGAAATTCTCAAAATTACACAAACACAAGGAAATAAACAGCATGTTCCTGAATCATCTTTAAGTCAATGATGAAATCAAGATAGAAATCACAAAATTTTTAAATTAAATAAGAGTGGTGATACAAGTTACCAAAATCACTGAGATACAATAAAAGCAGTGCTAAGAGGGAAGTTTATAGCACTATATGTTTACATCAAAAAGACAGAAAGATTACAAATTAATAACTTAATGTCTTATCTCCAGGAAGTGGAAAAACAGAACATACCAAACCAAAAGCTAGCAGAACACAAGAAATAATAAATATCAGAACAGAACTAAATGAAATTAGAACCCAAAAAACAATACAAAGGACCAATGAAACATAAAGTTGGTTCTTTGAAAAGATAAGCAAAATCAATAGACCACTAGCTAGATTAGCCAAGAAAAGAAGAAAGAGAATTCAAATAAGCTCAATCAGAAATGAGAAAGTAGACATTATAAGTGATACCACAGATATACAAAACATCGTCTGAGGCTATTATGAACCCCTCTGTGCAAAAAATTAGAAAATCTAGAGACAGTGGATAAATTTTTTGAAACATTTAACCTCCCAAGCTTGAAGCAAGAGGAAACAAAAATCCTGAACAGACCAAAAATGAGTAATGAGGATGAATCATTAATAAAACATTTCCTAAAAACTAAAGCCCAGTACCAAATGGATTCACAGCTGAATTATTTCAGACCTACAAAGAAAAATGGGTACATATCTACCAGAACTGTTACAAAAGATTGAGAAGAAGAAAATCCTCCCTAACTCATTCAACAAAGCCAGTATCACCCTAAAACCAGGATTCATAGCCGAATTATCTTAGAGCTACAAAGAAGAATGGGCACATATCTACCAGAACTGTTCCAAGATTGAGAAGAAAGAAATCCTTCCCAACTCATTCAACAAAGCCAGTATCACCCTAAAATCAAAGCCAGAGAAAGACACAACAAGAAAAGAAAACTACAAACGAGTATCGCCAATGTATATAGATGCAAAATTCCTCAACAAAATACTAGCAAACTAAGTCCAAAAAAACATCAAAAAGAAAATGACCATGATCAAGTGGGTTTCATCCCAGGTATGCAAGGACGGCTCAACATATGCAAATCAATAGATGTGATTCACCACATAAAAGGAATTAAGAAGAAAAACCATATAATCATCTTATAGATGCAGAAAAAGCATTTGATAAAATTCAACAATCCTTCATGATAAAAACCCTCAACAAACTAGGCATAGAAGGAACATACCTACAGATGTTAAAGGCCATGTATGACAAACCCTCCACCAACATTGTACTGAACAGGAAAAAGTTGAAAGCATTCCCCCTAAGAATTACAACAACACAAGGATGCATACTTTGTCACCATTTCTATTCAATAAAGTCCTGAAGTTTTAGCCAGAGCAAAAAGGAAAGAGAGTGGAATAAATGCCATCCAAATTGGGAAAGAGGAAGTCAAACTATCCCTATATGCCAAGGATGTGATCTCATATCTAGAAAACCCTAAAGTCTCATTCATACAATTCCTAGAATTGGTGAAGGAATTCAGTAAAGTTTTATGTTACAAAATTAATGTAGATGAATCAGTAGCATTTCTACATGCTAATAACTGCCAAGCTGAGAATCAAATCGAGAATTCAATACCATTTATAACTGCTGCAAAAAAAAATTGTAGATAACACAAACAAATGGAAAAACATCCCATGCTCATGAATTGGAAGAATCAATATTGTTAACATGTTCCTATTGCCCAAAGTGATTTATAGATTCAATGCAATTCCCATCATAATACAAACATCATTTTTTTACAGAATTAGAAACAAAATCCTAAATTTCATATGGAATTAAAAAAGAGCCCAAATAGTCAATGCAATCCTAAACAAAAAGAACAAATCTGGAGGTATGACATTACTTGACTTCAAATTATACTACAAGGCCATAGTAACCAAATCAGCATGGTACTGGTATAAAAGTAGATGCATAGATCAATGGAGAATAGAGAACTCAGAAATAAAATTGTGTACCTACAACCAACTTATCCTTGACAAAGCAAACAAAAACATACACTTGGGAAAGGATGCCATATTCAATAAATGGTGCTAGGAAAATTAGACAGCCATATTCAGAAGAATGAAAATGAGTATATCCCATGATTTATAAAAAATTAACTCAAGGTGAATTAAAGACTTAAATGTAAGACCCGAACCCATAAAAATTCTATAAGAAAACCTAGGAAAATCTCTTCTGGACATTGGCCTAGGCAAAGAATTTATGACTAAGATTATAAAAGCAAATACAACAAAAAGAAAAGTAAATAAATGGACTTAATTAAACTAAAAAGCTTCTGCACAGAAAAAGAAATCATAATGAGAGTACGTATACAACCTACAGAATGGGAGAAAATATTTGCAAATTAAATGTCTGATGAAGGACTAATATCTAGAATCTACAAGGAACTCAAGAAAATAAAAAACAAACAAATAACCTTATTAAAAAATGGGCAAAGACATGAACAGGAATTTTCCAAAAGAAGATATACAATGGCAAACAAACATTAAAAAAATACTCAACATCCCTAATCATCAGGGAAATGCAAATTAAACCTACAATGAGATATCACCTTTCCCCTCTCAGAATGGCCTAATTATTAAAAAGTCAAAAAACAATAGATGTTGGTGCAGATGCAGTGAAAAAGGATCGCTTATACTTTTTGCTGGGAATGTAAATTAGTACAACCTCTATGGAAAACAGTATGGAGATTCCCTAAAGAACTAAAAGTAGACCTACCATTTGATCCAGCAATGCAGTAGATACTGGGTATCTATACAAAAGAAGATAAATCATTATATAAAAAAAGATACCTACACTTGTATGTTAATCACAGCACAACTCACAGTTGCAAGGATATGGAATCAACCTAAATGCCCGTCAACTGATGAATGGATAAAGAAAATGGTGTGTGTGTGTGTGTGTGTGTGTGTGTGTGTGTGTGTGTATACACATACCATGGAATACTACTCAGTCATAAAAAAAATTAAATAATGTCTTTTTCAGCAACTTGGGTCAAACTGGAGACCATTATTATCCTAAGTGAAGTATCTCAAGAATGGAAAAATAAATACCATACCTACTCACTTATAAGTTGGGGCTAAGCAATGGGTATGCATAATCATATAGAGCGGTATTAAGGCTGTTGGAAAATCAGAAGTGGGGAGGGTGGGAGTGGGTTGAGAGACAAAAAATTACCTTTCAGATACAATGTATACTATTCAGGTAATGGGTAAACTAAAACCCTGACTTCACCACTATACAATTCATCCATGCAAGAAAAAAACATTTGCACCCCCTGAATCCATTGAAATAAAAATAAAAATCACATTTGTCAATGCTGTTTAAATTTGTCTGACAAATGTGATGCTTATTACATTTCTTTATAATTCATTGAGGGTCAACCAAAGATATGCTAGGCCCTCTGTTAAGCACTTTTGTATGTATCATATGTTTTCATCTTCACAATAACCCTATGAGTTAAGCACCATAATTATCCTTATCTTACAGATAGTGAAGCTGAAGTATATCCAGTTTAATTAATTTGCTCAAGTCACCCAGATAGGAAACTAAGACTTAGAAAGCTTAAAGAGCATCCCAAATTCATACAGGTAGTCATTAATGGAACTGGGACTCCTATCTTGGCAAATGAACCCCATACTTTAGAGCACATACTTTAACAGCTATACCATTCTATCTCTGAGTAATTTATGAGTTATTAAGGAAGATCAAGGCTAGGATATGTGAAGCCTCAATTGATCAATTACTCAGTGGCACGAAACAGCATGTGCAGTGAACTTAGCAAATGTTAAAAAAACAGTTGGAATAATCTTCCTTGTTAATGTGAAAAAGATCAAATGTTCCTTACCCCTTTCTGTGTCTGCTTTTTTGTTCTTCCTTAAAAATTGCTTATGGCAGTGAATTAAATCAAATATCAACTAACTTGCCTTTTGCTATCCTGACCATCTTATAATTTTACAGAAATCTTGCTCGGACCTAGATGATTACATGCGGACTACACTAAATCCTTACATAATCAACATTACCCTAGCAGCAAAAATGTGCAGCCAAGTGCTTTGCCAGGAGCAAGGTGTGTGTACAAGGAAAGACTGGAATTCAAGTGACTATCTTCATCTGAACTCAGCGAATATTGCTATTCAAATTGGGAAGGAGGGAAAGTACTTAATAATTGGAAAACCCACACTTGACGACCTGCAGCAATTTTCAGAAAAATTTCGTTGCACCTGTTATAGCAACATGACTTGTAAGGAGAGAGATGATGTACAGAATGTTCGTGCTATTAACGTGTGTATTGCTGAAGGTCTTTGTATAGATGCCTTTTTAAACTTAGAACCCAGTGTTCATCCTTACGGCTGGAATGAGGAACATTATTTCATTTCCCACGATGTCTCATCCTTCACACCATCTGTCACAGTGGTCTTTGTTAACATTTTGTTTCTCTCTATAAGTTCTGCTGTGAATTTGTAATTGACATGTTAGCTGAAATGAACAATAAGCCCATTTTAAAGTGTGCTTTTTAGACTAATTAAATGCCTAAAAACAACATCTCCTACTGAAAAAAAATGACCATCTTTGGAAAGATTTTTCTGAATTACTGTCCCTAGTGAATGTTGGTTTAATTGTAGGATTGTTTCAACCCAATAATTCTGCACCAGATACTGACATTTTGATGAAATTACAATTTGACATGTAGTGGTTAAGAACTTGAAAGTGAAAACATTAATAAAACCCATCATTAAGATTTAGAGAATCTGGCTATTTCTCTTTTCTCCTCTGCTTACAATCAAGGGACAAAAAGAGAGAAGGAAAGAGGATGGGTGGGAAAGAAGAAAACAAAAGGAGGGAAGAGATAAAGGAAGAGATAAAGAAAAAGAGCTAGAATGTTTTGCTTTTTTTGTTGAGAATACTCATTTGCAGAGGATCGAAAAGAACATGAGCTGCATACACAATTAGCTTTCAACTTCCTTTTAAAGCCAAAGTAGTTGTAGTTGAATGCCTTACCTGGTCTGACCTGTACAAATGTTACTGCCACTTCCTTCCTCTCCACTTCAGCCAAACTTCTTTTTTGAAATGAGATGGGCTGGGTGTGGTGATTTATGGCTATAATCCCAGCACTTTGGGAAGCCAAGGTGGGTAGATGGCTGGAAGCGAGGAGTTTGAGACCAGCCTAGGTAACAAAGGAAGACGCGTCTCTATAAAAAATTAAAAAATTAGCCAGGCAAGGGTGGCATGTGCTTGTAGTCTTGGCCTCTCGGAGGCTGATGCAGGAGTATTGCTTGAGCCCAGCATTTCGAGGCTGCAGTGAGCTATGATCATGCCATTGCACTCTAGTCTGGGTGACAGAGCAAGACCCTGTCTCAAAAAACAAATAAACAAACAAAAATTAACAAGAAATGAAACTGCAAAGCCAGTTAGGATATCCCAAATTCACATTCTTCTAGGTATTCTCAGATTATGGAATATTTAAAGTCACTAAGATTTTGAAGTAAACTTTGTGAAGCATTAAATTTCCTGTTAGAAAAAAGGAAATGTTTTACTTGTTACAGACCTCACTTCTTTATGCATAAACTTTTTCAATATCTGAATTGAGATGGAGCTGCAAAAACCAATAAAAATGATCAAATTATTTGATCATTTTTAAGCTCCAATAATCGTTTAAAGATTGAAACACTTGTATAGTCTTTTTACATTATGTTTAAAATCTTTTTTTCCTTTTAGTTGACATGTAATAATTGTACACATTCATGGTATATGGAGTGATAGTTTGTTATTTATATACAATGTGTAATGATTAAATCAGAGTAATTAGGATATCTGTCACCTCAAACATTTATTATTTCTTTGTGTTGGGAACATTCAAAATCTTCTCTTGTAGCTTTTTGAACATATACAATAAGTTACTGATTACTATATTTACCCTACAGTGCTGTCTATAGAACACTAGAACTTATTCTTCCCATCCAGCTGAAACTTTCTGTCCATTAACCAACCTCTCTCTTGTTCTCCCTATTCTTTTTAAAGGCTAAAATGTATTCCATTGTGTATATACACCACATTTTTGTTATCCATTCATCTGCTGATGGACATTTAGGATGATGCTCTATCTTGGCTATTGTGAATAGTGCTGCAGTAAACACAGTGGTACCGTTATCTGTATACTCATTTCCTTTCCTTTGGATAAATACCCATTGGTGGGATTGATTGCTGGATCCTCTGGTACTTTTATTTCGGTTTTCTGAAACAAATCTCCATATTGTTTTCCATAATGACTATACTAATTCATATTCCTACCAAAAGCATATAAGGGTTCCCTTTTCTCTGCATCCTCACCAGCATTTATTTATTTATTTATTTGTTTTCGTCTTTTTGATAATAGCTATTCTAACTGGAGTAAGATGATCTCTCATTGTGGTATTGATTTGCATGTCCCTCATTATTAGTAATGTTTGCATCTTTTCACACACTTGTATGCCATTTGTATGTCTTCTTTTGAGAAATGTCTATCAGATCCTTGGCCCATTTTTAAATTTTTTTGTCTTAACTGTTGAATTGTTTGAGTTCCTTGTATATTCTGGATATTAGTCTCTTGTTAGATGAATAGTTTGCAGATATTTTCTCCCATTCTATAGGTTTTTGATTCACTCTATATCGTTTTTTCTGTGCTGTGCAGAAGCTTTTTAGTTTGATACAGTCCCACTTATCTATTTGTGTTTTTGTTGCCTGTGCTTTTATAGTCTTACCCATAAAATCTTTGCCTGGCCCAATGTCCTGCAGCATTTTCCCTATGTTTTCTTCTAGTAGTTTTATAGTTTTAGGTCTTAATATTTAAGTCTTTAATCCATTTTGTGTTGTAAAATCTTTTTCATTCTTTTAAAGTCATTGCTGCTCATGGTAAAATGATACAAAGTAGAAATCTAAAAGTTGCCTCCTTCCTCTCTCTACCAGTGATAACTCCTGGCTGCAGTTTCTTGTATATAATTCCAAAAATTTCCTAGCTATGTAGAAACAAATATGTGTGTATATATATTTTACACAAATTGTTCTATGATATTTATAATTTTCTACAACTTACTCTTCTCACCAGACAATATATTTTGGGTATCTCTCCATATCAACACATCTTTGTATTGACTACACTATAGGACATTATTTAATGAAATTTCTTCTTAATGAACATATCAGTTTTGGAGATTTTTTTCTGTATCAAAAATTTTATAGTTACTATCATATAAGTATGTATCTTGGAACACTTGCCAGAATGAAATCAAATTGCTAGTGTGAAGGGTATATACATTTCAATTTAGATATATGTTACAAAATTATCTTTCAAAAATTTTGTTCCAACTAATGGTATCATTAATAGTGAATGAGAGGGCTGCTTTTCCTCACTAACACTGGATTTTTTCAAGTTCTGCAGTCATTATTCATCCAATTGGTGAAAATGGCATCTCCTTTTAACTTCATTTTTAAACAATCATGTTGACATTTTTTTCATATGAATAGTTTGTTATGGGTATCATTTTTTCTTGCCAAGCCCTTTTTTAAGAGTGAACTCTGTTTTCTCATTTATACTCAAATTCTATTTTTTGAGACTGTTGCATTTATGATAATTAGACATGGCTTTTCAGATACCAACAGAGTATAATATGAAAACAGAAAACCAAAGACCAGCTTTAAAAAAATTATTCCTTTATTTCATTATATTTGTTATGTGGCATTTGACTATGATCATCATTATTATATTTTTAAGGTACATCAGTCACAAGGAATTACAAATTCATCATCCACTATATCTCATTGCTTTTATCTGTTCGTAGAGTCTTGTAATGTTTTGACAAATAACTTTTGTAACAAGTATCTTTTAAATGAAATTCTACAATCTATGCGCTGTTAGTTTTTCATCAGAAGCCCAATCATTGATATGGGTATGGAGGGGAAAGAGCAAGGTAATCCCAGGTTAGCAATATGTAAACTGTTGACTTTGGATAAGTTACTTTCCCTCTCTGAGTTTGTTTCCCCAGTTATAAAATGTAAAAGGTCAACTGTTGAGAAGACTAGAGAAAATAAACAAAAGTCAGCGAGTACAGTGCTTATTATAAAAGTGTAAGGTGCTCAATAAATGGCAATGATTATTTATTTGGAATAAATACTTTCAAAATTTTTCCTCTATTAGATAGATGATTTAAAGTTTACATTTGGAATATAAAATGGGCTTAATATTTTCATTTTGAGGGATAGGATATTAAATAAAATTTACTCATAATGAGTTTAATTTGACTAAGAACTACAAATTTCTAATCCAAACACAACGTGCTCTACTTTATTTATGTACTATATTAAAATGTATGTATAATTATCATAAAAAAATTAGTACTATGGAGGGTCTTTGTCTTATGATTGTTATACATCTCTAATTAGAATTATCCAACCAGTCACTTATTTGGTTTCTAACATTTCAATACACAATACATTTAATTACATTTAATTATAAACCTTAAAGTAGTAGGTAGACATATAATTTCTCCTGAAATATATTTCTTCTCCTATCCCAATTTGCTAATCCTAAATAACAGATTTAGGGAAAAGAATGGGCTTGGGCCAACAATATATAATTATGTAATTTTTAGGTATAAATCATTACAAATGATTTTATTTTTCTCTGCTAGGTTTTAATGAAAGACTAGAGGTCTTTAAGAAATTAAGAAATTTCTGGGTTTAATATTTATACTGTGTTTATTATTTTCTAAACTAATAATTTTGTAAAAGTGGAAAAAACCATTAAGACTGTAACATTTAGTATACAATGCTTTTGAGAGTTAAGCAGCCAGAAATAAATATACGTTTTGTATCCTGTAGAAAACCTTAGTCCCTGAATAGTGAGAGTCAACTTCAGTAACTAATAATTTTAGTGATGTTCTGTTACCATATGCTGCTGGAAATTAGTCTGGCTGAAATTGTCAATAAAAGTTTAAAACACTGTGCTACTTTAGAATTCTTCATAAATAAGAAGAGCTTCTGTTTATTATACAACACTTAAATTATGTACTTTACATACAATTTCCAATTGAAGTTTTTTTTTTTTTTTTTTCCCAAGATAAAGTAACTAAGCCTTAGATTAAGTGACTTGTCCGGGCTCACACGGTTAATGAGTCTTACAGCCAGAAAGAAGATTGGTTGGGTGACTTTGACTCCCAAGCCTGTGCATTCCACCATTACACAATACTGTCCCCAGAAGGGTATAAGGTGACATAACATCTTAGCACCAAGTAACTTCAAACTAGTACCTATTCTTTCTTTTCACTCTAGGCTCCGGAACAGCATCTGACCATGGTTATATGTGCACTATGAAGAATTTTTCTGAGTGCTAGACCACAGGGGACAGGTGATCAAAGGGCATCGATTAATTTTATACACACTTTTACAATGGCTTTAATTAATAAAGGGAGAAACTGGCAATTGAAGAAAGA